AAGACTAGAGGGAAGACTACTAGTTAATACTCACAGCCAACTCATGGGTTACTCTTTACCAACAAATATTTGGATTGACCGTCTCAGTAGCGGGATTCGACCCATAGATTACGTGAAGAGTTTTCTATCCATCAGACTATGCCAGGCTGTTATAATATTATAATAAATGTTGATATGACAAGTTTAACTTTATCTTTTTTAATTTCTGTTAGATACGAAGATAATTTATGAATTCTTATTATACTGATGTATTTTAGAAAACATTGGAATCTTAGACAGTTCATTGTGAAAAAGTTGTTAAAATGTTTTATGTATTTATTGTTTGTCTTACAAAAACACAAAATATTCCTGTACAGTTCTTTGAAATTGGTCACACTTCGTAGTGTGAAATTCCTTTTGTTCTTTCCTGAACAGATCTACTTCTTAAAATGACGAAAGTTCACCATTTCCACGGTCTCCCCCCCCCCCCCCAGTGGCACAGCGGGATGTATGCGGGCTTACAACGCAAGACACCGGGTTTCGATACTCATGGTGGGAAGAGCACAGCTAGCCCATTGTATAGTCTTGTGCTGAATTACAAACAAATTCCACGATATTAAAAACAATCACTCAGTTGATAAGGCAGAAATGGTGTTATCCAGTACACATCGAACCGTGGATTGGTATAGTGTCCACATAATTTTAAAACAGACAGTTCTCAAAGCTTTGAACATAACTTGTCTTGGGTCAAGCTTAAAATGCGATTTGATATCAACTTTAATTGACATTGTTTGTTTTCAGTTTGAATTACACAGCTGTCTCTTAAGCACAGAAATAAACGATTCGACTAAAATTACTTATAAGAAATTCTAGAGCACTGAGAAAAGTGCATATGTATAATTTTTCATAATACAGTTAACTACATGAAACTAAGGAAAGCTGACATATTCAACTACAAACCTGATAAAGTGTTTGAAAAATTTAGAATTTTATAATATAGTATTCTGTTTGCCTCACAAGAAACCTTTCTTTAACATTTTATATATATTTGGAAACTTATTACTAAATTAATATGTATTTTCGGGATATCTAAATATCATAAGTAGGGTCCAGATTTTTAGCGAATGTTATATATACATGAAACTTTTGTTTAAGGACCCTCCGGTGACATTTGGAATCTTGATTGAAGATCATAAACCAATGAAAACAAATATATGAAGTAATTTACTTCTACTGCAAACACACTTTTAAAGAAAATAGATTCAAGCAAACAGAGTCCATTAGGAGGTAAAAGTTACGTACTTGCTACGACCTCCTGAACCTCATGATGTCTCCTGTTTAAGAACTTCTAATCTAGAACTTATCAACTATACTTTTCGTAGATTAAAGACAACCATGAATAACTTGCACAGCTAACCATTTATTAATAAATTTGATATTGTCCCTTTGGAACTAAGAAAAATAATTCCGGGAAATCTTTGATATCAAACTGTAAAGGGTCATTTTTGATTCTCATTTCCACTTACACAACTACTGCGCCATCTAGAAGCAAGATGTGGAAACATCTCATTATTTGTATTTATTTTTAGTATATGTCTCATTATTAATTTTGAGCTACTGGGAATTTTTTGCTTTTTTTTTTTTTACCGACAGCGAATAGTTAATATTATACGCCTTCTTTTACATTTAAAGTCAGAAAAAATTAAATACTTTCATTATATCGCCTTGATGACAAAGTTATTAACATGCTTCTGAGACTATTGCGTTCTTAGTAGAAACATATATGCAAGTCGGGTTCTCAATGCAACTACTATAGCTTTAAAATTGCTGTATTAATAAGAATTAGAATAAAAATCTCACAATAAGAATCTCAAGAATTAAAGTGATGGTTGATAAATTAAACAATTTTAGGTTTAAAATTGGCTTGGAAGACATAATACAAATCTTAACCATACTGTGATCAGTTTGTTTGTTTAGAATTAAGCACAAAGCTACACAACGGGATATATGTGTTCTGCCCACCAGGGGTATCGAAACCCGGTTTTTAGCGTCGTAAGTCCGTAAACATACCACTGGGGGGGGGGGCTGCTGTGATCAGTGTCATGATAAATTTTGCTTCATTTTTGTTTCAGTGCAAAGACAAACAATTGGCCATCCATATCATTTCCACCGCGCTACAAGACCGTTAAACTAACGAGAAGTAAATAAACTATACTGTTGAAACAAAATATTAATATAAAGACTAGGAAACCAGTTTAGACACTTTAGTGTATGTGAGAAGATAGGATCTGAAAGTGTCGAAACTAGCTTCCCAAGTCTTTCTACTAATATTTTTTTCCTAAAGCGTGGTTTATTTTTCGTTAATTGAGCTAACATGCATGATTTTGTGTATTTTACTGTTAACATACCGCCGACCCGACGGGGTACATGTGATGATAAATAACACAGGCCTGCGATAGTATTATTGTCTTAAAATTTTTACATGTTCTACAGTAATTCTTGTTCGCTGAATCTGAAAATTATGTCCATTTTTCTCCATCACTTACAGATTTTTCACAAAACGTCATAACACGTAGTTTTGGGACTAAAAGACGTAGATTTCAGAAAAAAAATCAGGATGAATGAGGATGCATATTCGTTTGACATTATTGTTCTTCCCTTTTATTCAGTTTGTTTGTATTTTTTTAACAAACATAATCATAAAAAATGTTCATTGTGGTAAACGAAATAATAATTTGATCTAAGTAAGAGTTTTTTTTTTCGTCTTCCCGGTCTGTAAAAAATCCTTACATGATAGAAAAAACGTAATATTATTGTCGAAATGTGCGTAGCTGAATTGTGGAAAATCCGTTATTAAAACCAAGATAATTTTTATGAAGTTTAAATTTGCAGGCCTGTGTAATCAACGAAACAACTATATTAAATGGAATGGTTAATGAAAATAGTATCGAGCGATTAAACCGACTTAAGTCCACGAATGTTTTGTTTAATTTCTCATGGTAGAATACCTAAGACTTACCACGTCATATTAAATAGAAAATACGTTTGTAGCCGTTAGATATTTTTAAGCGAAAGAATACTACATTTTAGAGATAATTCAGCTTTTTCTGGCGCAGCTAAATTGATAATGAAATAATAATAAAAAGGATTATCCGAATGTATTTTCTATGTGAATATAAAGTGGGAGAACAGCTGGCATAGACCTTAATGTTACTTGAATTATTAATGATTTTGTTAATCCTGAACGTCTCTGTTGAGCTAATGAATGGTTTTATATTCCACTGTGCAACAACTCTTAACAAACGGCTATCGTAAATACAAAATTAAACATCCATTTTTCTAATTCCAATGAATAAAGTGGGCCAATTTCTTCTTAACTCACCCATTTTTACATTAAATCTTCAGGGGAGTTGTCCTTTTATATAACTTAGCCCTTTTCTTGACATCTCATCTTTATATAGTTGTAAAATGTTTTAATCAGATACCAGTAATGCTTTCACTGTAGAGCTTGTTTTTCTAACACACAAACAGCATTTTCAGGGGCGTATTGAACTATGAAGTCTTCAAACGTAGTTCAAAAAAAAAGGTGAAACATCCGGTACTATTTCCATTTGTTCATAGAAGAATAAAAAGATGCAGGCACACCAAACTTGGCACCTAGATTTGCTTTGACGCCATCTTTAAAATGCCAACTGCAGGAATTTAGTGATGACAAGTACCACCTATACACTGTGTAAATAAATACTAAACTTAGCTAGTGACCTAATCTCTATGCATTTTAAATACCTCTTATTGATGCTTAAAACGGATTTAAGTCATCGCAGCAACTCTCCTGATTTTATATTGGTGTTTCATCACTTTTTAAGTTATTAAATAAGAATTACAATATTCAATTTTGTTTGTACGAAAGAGTAAAATATAATCAGCGTTTACAAAAGTTTTAAAAATACTTACAAATCAATGAACATTCAAAAAGAGTTGTTTTTGAAAAAAGAGAGCCTAATTCGGCAAATATTACATAGAACAAAACCTTTAAAAAGTAGCAAGCGTACTTGAAAAATCCT